GCTGTTGTCCCACAGCTCCAACACCCGGCTCTGGGGCTGGATCAGGGCCGGGATGGGGATCAGGGTGATGGGAATGGCACTGCTGGGAATGTCACTGATCCTGCTGGGAATGTCACTGATCCCGCTGCTGTCCCACAGCTCCAACACCCGGCTCTGGGGTTGGGATGGGGCTCAGGGTGATGGGAATGTGGCTGATCCCGGTGTTTTCCAGGCTGGGGGAGCAGTACTACCGGGATGCCATGGAGCAGTGCCACAATTCCAACGCCCGGCTCTGGGGCTGGATCAGGGATGAGATGAGGATCAGGGTGATGGGAATGGCACTGATCCCGCTGTTTTCCAGGCTGGGGGAGCAGTACTACCGGGATGCCATGGAGCAGTGCCACAGCTACAACGCCCGGCTCTGCGCCGAGCGCAGCGTCCGCCTGCCCTTCCTCGACTCCCAGACCGGCGTCGCCCAGAGCAACTGCTACATCTGGATGGAGAAACGGCACCGCGGGCCCGGTACGGGAGCACGCCGGGATACGGCCGGGGACAGCGGGAATACAGCGGGAATACAGCTGGGGACAGTGGGAATACAGCTGGGGACAGTGGGAACACAGTGGGAGAACAATGGGAATACAGTGGGAACACTGGGAATGTGGCCGGGGACAGCCGGAACACACTGGGAGAACAACGGGAATACAGTGGGAATACAGCGGGAATACAGCCAGGGACAGTGGGAACGCAGTGGGAGAGCAATGGGAGCACACTGGGAACATTGGGAGAACAAGGGAACACACTGGGAATACAGCTGGGGACAATGGGAACACAGTGGGAGAACAATAGGAATACAGTGGGAATACAGCAGGAATACAGGGGGGGACAATGGGAACACACCGGGAATACGACTGGGGACAGTGGGAGAACACCGGGAACACAATGGGAGTACAGCAGGAACACACCTGGGAACAACAGGAACACACTGGGAACACTGGGAGAACAAGGGAACACACCTGGAACATTGGGAGAACAAGGGAACACACTGGGAACACTGGGAGAACAAGGGAACACACTGGGAACACTGGGAGAACAAGGGAACACACCTGGAACATTGGGAGAACAAGGGAATACAACAGGAACATTGGGAGAACGAGGGAACACACCGGGAATGCAGCAGGAGCACACCCTGGGAACGGCAGGAGCACGCTGGGGACGCTGGGAGAACAAGGGAATACAACAGGAATATGCCTGGGAAATAATGGGAACACCTGGGAAATGCTGGGAACACACCTGGGGAATACGAGGAACACCAGGAACACCTTGGAAGCACCGGGAACACACCTGGGGAACACCGGGAACACACCCGGGAAGCAGGGAACACCCAGGGAACACTGGGAAACACCGGGAACACCGGGAACACCTTGGAAACACCGGGAACGCACCTGGGAAACACCGGAAACGCGGCGGGAAGGGGACACGGAGGGGGACACGGGGGGGGTGTCACCACTTGGGCTGATTTTGGGGTGTTCTGTCACCTCCTCGAGCAGCTTTGGGTTGTTTTGGGTTGTTTTGTCCCCCCCCCGGGGATATTTTGGGATCGTTCCCGGTGTTTTCCAGGCCTGGCCGCGGGACAGCTCTACTCGTACCCGGCGCGGCGCTGGAGGAAGAAACGCCGCGCCCACCCCCCGGAGGATCCCCGGCTGGCATTCCCCTCCATCAAACCCGGTAATTCCCAACATTCCAGGGCAATTCCCGGCTGGCATTCCCCTCCATCAAACCTGGTAAATCCCAACATTCCCTGGGAATTCCCTGTCCCACCCCCCGGAGGATCCCCGGCTGGCATTCCCTTCCATCAAACCTGGTAATTCCCAACATTCCAGG